GTTCAGTCATAAGTGTTAATTTTTCAAGGATGTAAATATTGCAAGAGAGCGAGTTTAATTATGCAACTAATCAAATGACACGATCAACAATTGATTTACAAAAAATGATGGAAGCCTGCAAGATTATATTTTCACCATGTTCACAATTTGAAAAAAGTTGGTTAAACAAATACATATAGTTTCACATATTTTATTTTCTTTCGTTTTTTTCAAGAATTGGTTTGTATTGCTGTTTAAACAAACAATTTACAAAATTTACTGTGTTTAAATATGCGTTAACGTTAATTGTATAAGATTAAAAAATAGTAATATTATGTATTAATATTTTGTTATTACAATTGAATATTAAATGTTAAATTTAACTATTACAAAATATAAGAATTGGTTTGTATTGCTGTTTAAACAAACAATTTACAAAATATACTGTGTTTAAATATGCGTTAACGTTAATTGTATAAGATTAAAAAATAGTAATATTATGTATTAATATTTTGTTATTACAATTGAATATTAAATGTTAAATTTAACTATTAATAGAAACCTGTGCATCGCACGGGCTTAAATCTAGTAATAAATTAATTTAAAGTTATTTAGTCAATACTAGCTATTGTAAATAATCATTCTATCCATACAAATTAAGAGCCTAGTTCAAATTACCTCAAAGCCCAACTTTACATCTTATTTCTAAACTTTGGCATATATTTGGGCCTAAACAAGTCGTCCTAATTATATTTGGATTAGGAAACCCCAAAACACGCTTCTTAATATTTATACCCACCTAAATTTTCCCCCTTCTTTCACACCTCAATCTCACGTACAAAACATGGAGAAATCCCAAAATTTCTTTTGCTTCGTAGCTCGGAGGGACCAAGTCCTTGCCCTCTCCAACTCAGATTTGCTCGACAAGTCGCCGAAGAAGGCCACGACCAAGTCTCGTTGCGACCAGAGAATCTCCCTCGTGCTATCAGGGATATGGAGAAGACGGGCTGAAGTGAAACCCATGTCAGCAGATTGGAAGGTCTTGAAAGACTGATTCAGCGAAGCCGAAGGCACTTCCTCGGTTTCTTTCTCGGCCTCCGCATCCTTCTTCAAGCCCTCATCATCAAAATCCTCTGGTTCCTCGCCTAGAACCTTCACATTGTCCTCGGGTTTATGCAGCAAAAGAGCATCAGTTTCCCGCTGAATATCATCAGTGAAAGGTCCTTCCTGAGGCGGGAACGAGGAGCGCAGAGGAGGAGTCTTCTCTCTGGATTCGGTCTCCTGAACGTTGACCAATTGTTCAGGAGGAGGAGTCTTTTGCTGGACTTCTTCTTCAGCGAGAGTCTCTAGGGGAGGAGGAGTTTTCTCCTTGGTCTCTTCTACTTTCTCTTCATCTAGTCGAGGCTTCTTCGCCAGAACAAGAGCAGCTTGAAATTGCCCCGGCTTGATAACAACTCTCCTCTTCCTCGAACCAGACATTTCTTCTTCTGAGGATGATTCAGGGATAGCTTCGGAAGGCTTTCTCTCGTCCCTTTCTTCTTTGTCATACTGCAGAAGAAGGAACAAGGGGGGCAATGAGCCATATAAGTACAAAAAAAAAAAAAACAACAACAACATATAAGTCAAGTTTGAAAGTTTACCGAAGTCTTGAGCAGGCACTCGTCTTCGTCTTCGCTTCCTTCAACTCCTGGAGCAGCTGTTTCAGCTCGCTCGGCAACAGGATCAGAAGTCCCAGCAACAGCGGAACTCTTAGCAGCAGCAGAGCCACGAGTCGCAGTGGCTTGTTCCTCGGCAGTCAGAACAAAGAATGGGTCACTCTTCTCCCACCAAGGTTTCTGCTGCTGATACTCAACCGCGCTGACTATTTGAAACCTCTTCTCATGCAAGCTAAGAGGCCGATCCATCGAATTAGTGATTTTCGGGGTATTGGTAATCGGATTCCTCTCCAGAGTGATCCCAAGCACCTCGTAATCGATGCCTGAGTTCTCTTCGTACAACGCTGAAAAGACAAAACAACAGTTAGCTTCGGCGAAGAAAACAAACATCGAAAAACAAAAGAAATCAAAAATAGTTCTCGGCCCCAGCCGAGCTCCTTACTGCCTAGGTATCTTCGCCTGAGGCCGACGATAGCAAGCATCTTCTCTTGAAATATGTAGTGGCAACATGGCAGCCAAGTAGTAGGGACAGTCTTCATTCGGCCAGCAGCCCCGCGCACTGTGGAGCAGCCGAAATGTTCCATTTGCTTCAAGTCGGCCTCTGAGAACTCATCAGGACCAATGCTTGCCATTTCAGGATCAGGCTACCTCAGATACCTTGGTGCATCAAAGTAGTTTGGGTGTTCTTCGTCCCGGGGCGGCCTTACTCAGATCCATTGGCCCCTCCAATCCTTGTCCGAGGTATCATTCCGCCAAACCAAAAGGTAGCCTTTTACATCCTCAATCTGCCACCAACCAGGGCCATGATGCTTGTTGGCTTGGACATTCGGGACTAGCTTATGCGTGCAACAGAAGCAATGGACGCTCGGCGTAAGCCCGAAAAACAAACACACCCAAAGATATGACATCAGCCTTCGGATGCTCATAGGGGTTAGCTAGCACAACGAGATGTTGTACCCATTTAGCACAAAAGTCACAAAAGCATGAAGCGGAACCAAAGCCCGTACTGCAACTGACGGGTGTAAACCCTGATGTAGCTTGGCGGAGGGCGGTGAATCCTCTCATCCAAAGAGGGCATTCGGCACCAATACCCATCTTCCTCTATAATTCCGTAGCAAATCTCAATTTTCTCGGCAAAGTAGAACTCGACGTTGTTCCCAATCCACCAGCCATAAGGGGGAGACGACATAATGCCCGCGTTCGCCGCCTCGTCTAACCATTCCCTTTCCACTGGGGGTAGAGGCCTAGATGCTGAAGCCACGCTTCGGCCGGAGGTGCTCTCCGATCCCGAAGTAGTCAAAGGAACGACGACACTCATGGCAGAACCACTAGCAGCGGCGGCGCGACCAACACTAGCCCTAGGATTCTGGTCGCTAAGGGGAGGCATCATCGCCAAAGGGTAGTTCCGTCGCGCGATCAACTGTGGAACCTCCTCCTCCTCTTCATTACTCGGCTCAACCTCCACCTTTTTCTTTCCACGGTCGCCAGCTATTTTCGAAGGTGGTTGCGCGAAAGAGGGGAAAAGAGGAGGTACTTGAAAAGGCAAGAAAACCGAAGAAAATTTAATTTGAGGAAAAGTACCTTGGTCAAATTCAGAATTTTCCGATCTATGAGTTCGGAGCAACAAATTTCAGTTTCGAGCCTCGGATTGCTGAATATGAGTGAAAGAAGGAAAAGGGTTTAGCAACGGTGATTAGTGAGAAGAGATTGGAAATCAGCGAAATGAAATAAAGAGAAAGAGTGGGACGAGTAGCTTACATACCTTTAAGAAATGGGAATATTGGGAGTCCATGCCACTAAAACCCCCACTAACACTACTTCAACGCTCCACCTTTCCGTCTTCTTTTCTAATTAACCGCCCACTAAACCATCCATATCCTCCATTAACTCTAAACAACATTTATTGCCTCAATATCTACAAAGTTCAAATGCTAATTAATCATTTGTCTCCCTCCATTTTGCAAGTCAAAACCCAACTCGTCAAACTTCCGAATTGGGTGTGAGGGGCAAGTTGTTTGGGTCCAATTTACTTCAATTGGGCCAAGTCCACAAATGATCCAATTACAAAGCCCAAAAGAGGTTCAACTCTCCTAAAAACATGTCAGGTCAGTCCAAGACCCGGTCAACATGGCAAGCCCATTTGACTTCAAGGCCCAAGTTATCTATTTGAGCGAGTTATAAAAGCCTTGACACCCCTTTCTCTACATTCATTCACTTCAAGCCTCAAGCATTAATTCTCTTGCATAGCTTTCTCTTTTTAGAAGCACTGAACTGACTTCGACATCGGAGGGGCCTTCCTTAGCACAATCCCCGAGGCCAGTTTACGTGTGTTTGCTGTGCAGGAAACCCTCGTCCCAGTCGTCATTTGGGCCGAGTCCAGTCTTCAGCCCACAAGAAAGGTCTAGACGAAGGGCCCATTGTTTTCACCCGGAACAATAACTATTATATTTGCACTAATTCAATTCCCAAAAAAGGATTGCCAAGCTAAAATACTAAATCAACCCACAAAAAAAAAAAAAAAATAATTCTAAATCGATTAATAAGGCTTTCATTCTTATTAGTTTATTTAAACAATTTCAAATTTCAACAAATAAAAGTTTAATCAACAGTTTTTTTTTGGGGGGGGGGGGAGGGGATTCAACAAAAAAAGTTAAGTTTAGCATTCGAAAAAACATTGCTATGTGAAGCAAAAATATATCACGTTAAACAAATTTCAGTCAAGTAGGAAGGAAAAAAAAAAAAAAAACCTAACATCTAATGCTATATCTATTAGCGATTAAATTATTCTCACTAAAGTCCAGAATAATAAGACATGAATCAATAACATTTTGAAAAATTTGCCAATTACAGCCATTTAAAAAAAAATCGAAAAATACTAATAATTTGTTGATCGTCATTCTATCCAATTTTTTCCTTGATTTACGTGCCAAAAAAAATTCCGTTAAGGTTTTATGGGTCATTTTAGTCCTTTTTGCAGTAAAAAAATAGTTGCACATAAATCAATACATTTTTCAATACGTAAAACGAGACACTTACGTTAATTTTTTGCCAATTTCGAGCTCAATTTGGATCCTAAAAACTAAATTGACTCCTAAAACTTTAACGAAACATTATTCAACACGCAAATCGAGGAAAAAATTAGATTTGGTAGCAATTAATAAGTTATAAGTACTTTTGAGCTACAATTTGCAAACTTTAAACTTTAAATGGCTGCAATTGGCAAATTTTTCTAATATTTTAGGTAATTTAACTGCAAATGACTCAGTATATCTGATTGTGCAGTTGTACTTACTTAGAACACATATATTTAGTAATATTAACACCGAAGAAAGAAAAAAAAATAGTAATTACAGCATAATAGAGAGATGTAATGAAAGAGCAAATCAAATAAATTGAAACTACTGGTAGAATGTGAGTGATACAATGATACCATCCTAATTCCTTCATATTGAAAGCATGCAATGACTTGATAGTTGATACCGATAAATATAATGCTCACTTGTTACCTTCTAACGAAAAGAATTACATTCTCATTGTGGAAAACATTACCACTAACATCAATAAAAATAACTATAATTAAGAATATTTAAAACCTCACAGCCCACCGCAGCTTTACAGTAGTATGAGATTTGCATGACTGTAGTAGAGGCTTTGCATCCGATCTGCAATGTACATATCGTAACATTCATGACACATCTGCAAAATTTTACCTTCTCTTTGACGATAAGATCACTCTCTTTCCCTCCACGCAGAATTTTGAACTCCCTTCAAGCTACAGCAAACAGGAAGCTGAAATTAGAACCTTCACATTAAACTCTTTTCTAGTTGGCTCCGGGTTTTATTTTTTGTTTTCATTTTGGAGGCGATGGGATGCAAACATTAGTGTTAAAATAAAAAATTCCCCTCAATAAGCATGAAACAAAGAAACAGGATTACTTATTCAAGAGATCAAAACTTCGAAATATACCTTTTGTTTTAGAAAAGAAAGAGTGTCCGCTTTAGAAGAGAAACTAGAGAAAACTGTAGCAGAGTGCTGATCAACCATAGCTTTCAGCTCTTTCAGCTTTAAAGTTTTACCAGGTACCTGCAAGAACCAGCTAGCTACTCAGCAAATTAACATATTTACTTTAAGGCTTATTGATATATGGAAAACAAACCTGACGAAGCAACTGGCGGCACAGATTTTTCAACTTCACTTTTGACTCTCTACCACTGTTGATTACAGGCATCTCATCATGTTCTTCTCTCTCTACAGAACCAGCACTCTGAGAATCTTCATCATCACAATCACTGTCTCCAAAAGTCGTCTTTTTCCCTCCGCAGTGAACACCAGCAACTTTTCTAGGCCTGTCTTTCATACCAAGACCTTGTCTCCCAGTTGTTTTTTTATCCTGGAAATCAACCAAGTCTCACTTAGAAATATCAATCCACAACTTTCATTTCCTTCAATTTTTCTCAGTGGTTTCCCTCAATTGCCATTGTAACACATAAACAAGAAGAAAACAACAGCCTGATCCTGCCGATATGCATGGTTCTAGGGAGTTCAAGAACTACAGAGAAATAATTCTCAATAACAGTAGAAAACAAAACAAAGCATGAGCCAAGCATACTACGCTCATTAGAGATACATGCTAGAACTGAATAAGAATCACATATGGATATCTTATTTTAATGGATTTCACATCAATTTCTCCTTGGCAAGCCTTTGACCTAAGGATCTCCCTTATATAAAGTCCGCAAATATTTTCTAGTATATGTCTTCCAAGCAAAAGTACCAGAAAATCCAATTCCATACCTAACCCAACAAATAAAGAGTCTTACACACGGGGGGGGGGGGGGAATGAAATTCGATTGAGCACTTGAACAGTATTTCAGGTACAAAAGCAACACATCAGATTATTGCATACTTTTACCAAATAAATACTATATTATGCTTGAATTCTTATAAAAAATGTTTAGATTGATTGAAGTATATGAATTACGAAGTCAATGGTATGATATAATCAATTATGCAACATTCAGGTACCAAAGGTCATTATTTACTCTTCTTGAAGTTTTGTTTCTAGTTAGGCTTGAGTCATTATTATAACCTGTCCCATGCCTTAATCTTATGTAGAATATCATAGACCAAATAATTGAAAGATGATTACTCACTTGACAAAGATTGTATAAATTCTCTTGATCTTCTTCAGCAAAACCGATCTTTTTGTTACCAGTAGAAGCCTCATCAGCTGCTTTCCTCTTCTTAGATTTGGCTCCTAGAAAACCCCCAATAACAAAACCATACTTGTAGCCCCACCACTCTGGCGGGTATTCAACAATCTCCTTTACTGTACACAAATATAATATGTAACCTTTAGCCAGAGATAGAAATCATTTTGTAGCAGAAAAAATTCACAAATGGTAAGTCTTATTATTTCTCTCCCCAATCTTTGTAATTCAATATCAGAGAGGTGCAAAGACACATAAGACCAGCAAGTTGCACTTTAAGACTGCAACATCAGCATAAACATACCAACAACCAGAAATGAATAATTTGACATAGATAAGCCACTAAAGCAGAATTCAGATTTGCTACAGACCACCCCAAAAATGCATTAAACTCTGACAATTTAAAACAAAAAATCACTGCATCTCACAATGATGTTAGCCATTGATCAGTTATGCCTATATAAGAACCAAGACGATAATTCTTAGTTGCCAATAATGGAATACATGTCATCCTACCAGGCTACCAGCAACATAACTTTCCTAAAATCATTTGATATTTTTCTTCTCACAAGCCATGACAAAAGACCCTACTCTTGGCTGTTTTGCAGTCATAACTTTCTTTTCCCTTTCCTTGGGTAAGACGGATTTGCTCTAATACTTCCTCCGTTCCACAAATATTGCACCAATTACCATTTTTGGAAGTTTTACAAATATTGCAACATTTCCTTATTTGCACATGTTTTCTCTCTTTCTCTCTCCTTATCACATGGATCCCTATCTTTATTCCTCTCTATCTCTCTTCTCTTCTTAAAATCCATGTCCCACTACCATGTTGCAATATTTGGGGAACGGAGGAAGTATTTTTTTTTTTTCTTTTTGTTTAAGAGAGAGGGGGGGGGGGGGGGGGTTCTGTCCTCCCTTGATGACCACTTTTAGATGGCCTTTACAGGTTGAAGCACAGAAGTCAAAAGACTTCAAGTCATAAGTTTAAAGGGCACAAGGAGTGCACCAAGGCGCAAAATTCTTTGTAGGTAAGGCGCATTGCACACTGAATTAATATATAATTAATAAAAAAAACATTCATTTCTATTCAATATTCCGTAAGTCAAATAAGGAACTATGAGAAACGGTGAAAGGGTCATGTGATTTGGGAATGGATACGGGGTATATGGGGTTCCTCTCTCCTCCAGGATTATATTATACCTGACCATCACAAAGTCCCATAGTGTTTTTATATAATAAAAAAAATATCTTACACATTAGCTATTGACGCCTAACCAGCATAGAAAAAAGCACATAAGCGCACGCCTTATGTAGGTCTTTGAGCCTCACATAGCTAAGGCACCAGCTCTCATGCCTGACTAGGCTGGAAAGTTACTAGAAAAGAACACCCTTAAACTCTTAGGCTTGCTTTTTAGAACTCAAGTCTTGGCTGGAAAAACCACATAAGGTTAAAGAACAAGGAACTTTTGGTACCTAAGCCTTACAACTCAAGGCCAAGGCCTCAGTGCCTCACTAGTGTAAAACTAATGAATAAATTCTGAAAAGGTTATAGTACAGAAAACCCTCAAACACTACATTCCTATAGGCTTCATCAGCAAATTCCCAGTATCCAATCTTGATACTTTCACAAAAGAACCAAAAACCTAAAATTATCTTGCACTGTGAAAGCCCAGAAAGACAAAGACAAATTGAAATTCTTAAACCTTTTGTGTCACCTTCCATGACAATCAAACTAAAGTGCCTTAATCTCATTGAATAAGTGGGTTCACCTTGCATGGTTGAAAAAATTATTGAACACGTCCTACAATCCTACATAATTATGTTTCATCTTCGTTTGAATAACCTCCATCAAATGCACAACTTTTACATTCAACATGGCACAAATTTTACACCAAGGCTTAGATAAGTAGACTAAGCCAACCAAAGCCTTTAAATAATCAACTGTAGAAATCTGTAGACTGAGTTGAGAAGGTCTGAAATTCAATACTCTACAAGCTTAGCAAATCAAACCAATACACCTCTCTTCCCAATACAGAAAAATATGGAAATTTTATATGAAAAAAAAATATTAGGGTAGGATTAACACTCGTTTGTATAGAGTGTAATATTCTCTCTATAAAGTTTATTACATAAAACATAGTACTTAAGGCAAATAACTCTGTATATCTCTAGTGCTAGACTGCTAGTGTCCTACTTTGTTATACATTCACGGAAAATTAAAGCATCAGATGTAGACAGTTAGCATACATAATTCAGGATCTAAAGAGGAGATCCAAACATTACCTTCAGCATCATAGGGAAGCTCATCAAAAACTTTTGTCTCTGATTCATCTTCTGTCGGAATTGTCGATTCCTCAGACTTCTTCCCCTACAGTACACAATTTCCAATTACATGAAAATTGAGATTAAACATCTAGGTCAAAGAGATCACGGTACATCAATGTATTGACATCAGCATTTACAATTTGGAAAATGTAATTTTAAATTTTAATGAGAGATAGAAAGGTAAGTTACCATCAACAAACTAAAGACTTCAAGATGCAACACATGTAGCATTTTAAGATTTTTCACAGTAGAAACTTACAAGTATTCCTTCAAGATCCAGAGAAGAATAGTTGTGAACTAGCTTTCCTTTTTCCCTCTTCTTATACCTGAACATTCATTAAAAACAATTTATTAAAAAAAAAAAATACACATGGTAGAAAGTATCTTTGGAACAACGTTAATTAAATTCATGCAGTAACTACAAAGTACAAACACCACAACCCCAAAAAGGCAAAAATACATACCGTCCTTGAGGTCGAGTAACCTTTACTGATTTTACTGCCACAACAGCTTCACAAATTTCAGAACTCACTTGCTTATCTGTATCTTCTTCAACTGCATGAATAAAAACGGTCAAGTCAAATTCCACAACAGTTATATCAGATGAACAACATATGTTTCATTTACACGTAATACTTTCTAATATTGCAAATACCTTCTATATTTGTCTCCGCTGCTTGCTGCAAGACGGACAAAAAATCATGCTTGTGAGAAATTCAGCTATGACTACAGGATATTGAAACTCAAAAACAGCATACTCAATAATACTATGAGCAACACCAAGGGATGTTACAACGAAATTGTGCAAAACAAAAAAGAGCAGTAATACAAATACCTAAAAAAATATAGTTTTTTTAGGTGTGCATGTACCCCTGTATTTTTTGGAAATCTATGTTGTACACCTGCTTCTACAAATTTCAGCGGTGATACAAATACCTATAAAGATAAGGGTTTTTCTATGGTTTGCATGTACCCCTATATTATTTGAAAATCTATGTTGTGCACTAGCTTCTACAAATTTCAACATAATGCCCCTGGACTTCTAAAATTGACTGAGTAGTTTAGTAGTATCCTCTCTGTTAACCCACAGTTAATTAATTTTATTAACTCTTTATTTTTTGGGATCTATCTTTCTGTATACTAGCAAAAGTGTTGCAAAGCATTAGTCTCCAGTCTCTACCACATCAAAACCAAACCACCAATCTTTATCTTCCCTTCCCTCTCTGTCAGCCTTTAATTACTCCCTAACTCGTCTGCAGCCTCCTCTAGCCACCCCTCTTCTTCAGCCACCATCTCCCCAAGGAAGATTGGGTCAGTTGATAGTGTGTTAAGTGATAAGCTGATAACAAGGGATTAATATTTCTAATAGTCACATGTATAAAAGGCACCAATGCAATAGGGATCCAGTGTTATTTTTGTCTAGCGAGATGATTTCAATGAGGTGCACTTAAGCACAAAAAATGCTGAAAAGGATCCCTATTGCCTCTGTGCATCTTGAGCTTTTTTATACTGTGATATTCTGTAAAATATCATTTTTTTTTTTTTTTGAAAAAAAAAAAAAAAAAAATCTTAATGTGGTGTTAATGGTACAAATAATTAACTAGCAAAAACACCTAATGTGGTTTCATCAGCAGAATTAAAACTGATAAAATTTTGAAAGTTACGGGGCATCAGGAAATTTAGAGTAGACACAAAGGTACACCATAGAAAACCCAAAATATTGACACCCAATAATGAGTAATGTTGAGACGTTAATATAATCAAAGAATCAAAATAACAGGCTACATTATTAATAGATGGTAAAAGAAAAAGACTCATCTTCGGTTGTCATTCGCGGTCACAATTTAGTAAACATTTAATGAGACAAGTTCATAATTATTGCAGGACATTCTTATAATAAGATGTGTAGAATATTGTATAAAAGCATATATCAATGGAATAACATGAACAAAAGGAACCGCAACAACTACAAATGAATCATATATAAATACGAAGCATATTATAAATAAGTTTGCTTAAATTAATGAAGCCAAAACAAATGTGAACTATGATTATAAATAAACGAAGAAATAAAATTAACTTTGATCATGAAAGCTCACCACTTTCAATTTTTTCAATATGTTATCGAATTGTGAGGTATCATATGCCCAATGATTAGGCTTCTCAACTCCAATACCTATTAAAATTTCACATAATTTCATCAATTATACAACCAATTTCAACAAAAATATCCAGATTAATAGATTATAAAAAAAATAAAAAAAATAAAAAGGAAATAAGAAATTAAGAGAGAGAAAGAAAGAAATTCAAACCAGACGTATCCTGTTTGTTTTGAACTCTGATGTAACCTTTGATACCTTGCTTATCTTTCCCAATACCTTCGCCTTCTTCCCAACCCTAAATCGAGAAGGAAAAGTAAATCAATTAAGAAATTATCTTCCGATGAAACGAAAAATCCTAGAAATCGAACTTCCTGGATTGTTGGAAATTGGAACAAATTGAAGAAGACAAAAGGGATTGGAGGAGAGAGAAAGTGAAGAACCATTTGCTTCATGAGGCGGAAGGCGGCGGATTGGCGGTCGATGCCGACGTAGCGTACGGGAGCTTCGGGAGCAGCCATGGCTTGGTTGCTGGCTGCTGCTGCTGCTCTCGGAAGAAGAAATGAAAGAGGAAAAAGAGAGAGAAGGGTTTTGCGGGGTTAAAGGTAATTAGAAGGAGAATGTTGATTGTACAATATCTAACGGCTCTCTTTATCCTATGTAAATATATATATATATATATATATATATATATATATATATATATATATATATATATATATATATATATATATATATATATATATATAACGGCTCACAATTGCCCTTATTGAAAAAAGAAAAAAAAAAGAAGTCATCAAGCACACTATATTCATCATTAATAAAAGTCGTAGAACATTTACAATTGACAATTAACGATAAAAAAAATAAAACATATTTTATAACGAATAATTTAATTTTTTCCATTTTAACAAAGTTGTACTTATAGAGAAAAGACCTGTTAATATGCCATATTGACATCGCCCGTTTATATGGGGTCATCCGCGTCATTTTGCCAGCTATAGTAAGGGTAATGTCGTCAACAACAATTGGATCCTTAACTGCAGAGTAGCGGCGTCAATTCTTAGCAGACTAATGTCCGTAGAACAAATTTTATGAACCTGTTCGTAACTAATATGACCCCGTTGTTAATTCCCCCCGGTTCCAACTTCAACATTCCCCCGGTTCCAACTTCAGCTCCTAGTAATGGACCTAGCACTAACTTGGTGAAGAATTGACGCGAATTCAGTTGGTAAATGTTGTCGAGTTGAATTGCAGTACCGAACTTAAAGGTGTGAGGAGGTCGGGCGGCGACTGTAGTACTGGTAAAAAAGCAATTGAAAAGGTCGGCGCGGCGATTGAGGAATGGGGGGCTAGTGTTTCGGAAGGTATGTGTCGTATCCTCTATTATGACCTTTTCATCCGGGCATTAGGTTTGATTGTGGCTTAAATTGTTCATGTGACACGATTTGGTTTATCGCAGTTATATTTAATTTAATTGATATGGAATTAAATGTGTTAAATTGATGGTGTATTTGCTATGGATTAAATTGCGCAATGATGATGAAAAGGATTTTCATGCATTCTTAGTTCGTAATGAGTATGGTTGCAATTGGGATTGAAATAGTATGTTGATAGTTTAGTTATTTGATTGTGGCCAGGATTGTTGTTGATAAGTGAATGGATAAATTACATGCATAGTGAATTGAATTGCTATGGATTTAAAATTTGTTTTGTTGGAGGTGTGTTGCTATGGAATTAATAGCGCATTCAAGGTGTAAATGCAATAACAGGTGGCAGTGAGTTTGGTTGTAATTGAGTATGGTTGTACATGGGTTGAACTTGTACAATGATAGTGTATTGATATAATTTGTAGTTGGAATGATTATTGTGGAAAGGAATTTCTTTCCAGGTATTGGAGGAAGTATGGATTCATTGGGGAGTACGAACCGGAAGCGAAAAATGTGCAGAAATGGAAATGTTTATGAGGTAGATTATGCAACTTATGCTACAAGATATATAAACCCTGATATATTCACGTCCATGCCAATTATGCGAGGTAATGTTTGTAAGTAAGTAAATAAAAGTAAAAATGATTTTGTCAGGATGGAGGATCAGGTTACATGAAGAAGCTTTATCCGGAGATATTCAAGGTAATTATAACTGTTGTTGTTGGATAGCTATAATTATGATCATTAAATTGGCTAACATAGTGTCATGTTCCTGTAGGATGACTCTTTAAGTGTTGGTGGGGAAGTGAAAAGGAAAGGTGAAGTGTTGGTACAACATTTGAAGGCTCGATGTAGGGTAAGTGCTTAATTGCATATGATTTTGCATTATTAGTATGTTATGATGTGGTTGATATGTTGTAGGAAGGCTACAAGTAGGCTGAAATTTCTGAAATGCATATCTATTGTGGAATTGTTTTCCTTTGATGTGATGCATATCTATTACAGCCAGCTAATACAAGTTGTCGGATAGAGTCGTTTGGTAGAATATGCAAAAAATTCGACGAGCAACGTAAGCGATGGATTGGTGAAATGGGGTTTACTGGCTATTAAAAATTGGAGGTGATATGAACCTCCCAAGACAGTTGGCGTTTTGGTTGATGACTCGAATTGATCCCTTTAATTGTACTCTTACTAGTCGAGATGGGAGAGTTTTTAGGCTGTCTCAAAATCAGGCTCATTAGGTCTTAGGTATTCCTAATGGGGGACTGCTTGTCCCAACATACCGTACATTGGATAATGAAATGTCAGAAAAGGTAAAAAGAATTATGGAGACTTATGGTAAATCCTGGAATAATAAGTCCATTAAAACTGGTCGTGAGTACATATTTGAGGGTATTCCAGTTAATGCTGAACTAATTGGTCGGGTCAAGGAACAATGGGAGGAAGATCATGCATATGAGTTCAAGACAGTTTTCTTGTTGTCGCTTGAGATGTTGTTATGCCCTAATCAGTCGTCGAGGTTGGCCGCTGATTTGGTGCCATCATTAACATGTGCTTCCAAAGCTGCTGAATATGATTGGTGTAGCCTTGTGTTAAAGAAGTTCATGGATAGTGTAGCGATGTTTGCACGGCGGTTTTACTCATCTGGCTTTGCTAGTGGATGTGTTGGTTGCCTCATCTTTATTATGGTATGTGATTATTTAGTGGCTTGGTAAGTTTGTTTGGGTTGGAGTAACCATTTAATACAGAACTCTGGTTATAAGCAGGTTATGTATTTAGATTGACTAAATAGACATCCTGTATAGTGGGGCTATTTCCCGAGGTTGGAGGTTTGGAACATGGAAGAGATACGTATGGCAATTAAAGAAGATCGTCTTCCAAATGGGGGTGACTTTGGACAGCTTGGGGTAAGATTCTAGCTATTGTACTTAGAATTACTTTTCAAATTTGTTTGTTGAATTGATTGTGAGGTTTGTTTATTAAACTTTGGATGTGGCATACGCTGAAATGCATCTTACGGAGGCAATGGATATAAATGGGCCTGAGGGGTCAACGAAGGTGGTAACAAACTTTATTTTGAGATTAAAAAACTGCAACTACTGTTTTAATATGCAATTTTCACCCATGTACACTTTCACAGGTTGAGAGATCGGGCGGTTTTAGTGTTTGTTATAGGAGTAAGGGTGCACGAAAACGGACCCCCAAATGTAAGAATCAGAGGTATAACTCAAGGAATATGAGTTACGCAGGGGCAGATTTCAGTTGCCCTGAAGAGTACACTGGGGAAAAAACAATCTTATCACCTAGAAAAGACAAGATGCGCTTGGTGAACACTGTTGACCCATCATGCTTCAAAATGGATAACTTGAAGAGGAATGTGTATTGGGGTACTGATTGATTAATTCTAATAATTGTTTTTTGGTTTCTTGTTTAAGTTAGTATATGTGACAAATATTACTTGAATCTTTGGTCTAATTAGGTGGATATCGGTTGAAGTGTGTACACACTACAAAAAATTACGTCATGGGTTAGTGTGCAATTGCAATCGTTGATAAAGTTAAGATAACAAAGGCTAACTTTTGTTGTTCTGCCTTAGGTTATAAGCTCGGTTAAATCAATGGACTTTCCTTGTGCAATAGGTCCCTCATTCTTTTCGTCATTGTCGGTTAGTTACATGACATGTGGTGTTATTGTCGTTTATTTGAACATTTTTCATTATACAAACAACAATGTCTTACCCTTAACCCAATGTTGCCTTACCAGGGTAAGGTAGTATTGTTTCCGGATGGAATTTGGTGCAAAATTTAAGTCCAAAGGGTCAATTAAGCGTTTTCTACGTAGTCATTGCGGTGCTTACTTGGCCATTGTATCTAAGGTACTTCTATCTAAACGAGAGCATCCTTTAGTCCTTATAAATTATGTCGTATATGATTATGTTTATGCTGCTAAAGGTATATTTGGGTATTTGTTTTATATTTCTTGACAACTTCATATGAATAGATTTTTGCTGCTTTAGTTATTTCCTCTCTATGTTGTCAAATCTAGAAATGTGGAAGACCTTTTTATGATACACTCGAACTCATTGACACCAAATATAAATGTGATTAAGAAGCGTGTAAGTGGTTAAAGCAAGAAGTGTGTATTCCATCAACTTGTTTACCATTGTTAATCAAAATAGGTTCCTGATTCTGTCATCCCCAAATTCAAGTTGGAACCGTTGATGAACTTGTTCAAGAAATCCAAACTATTTTGTTCAACGACTTATCCTTCGCTGATAACATCAGCAATTTGATTATTAGTAAAGATATGAAGTGCGGCTACATTTTGAAAAGATGATCGATTTTCAATCCATTCAAATTGTTTGCATGATTAATAACTATGTCATACTTGACAATTTGGTTGAGATGTGAATTATAGGCTATTTGTAAAGGACTCATTTATAATGGGCTATGTTGTTATGCCACATAATTCGTTTTTACTATATACTGGGGTAGTCTTATGTAGTCATAAGTAATGGGCCTCCTGGACATTGCCATGTGAATTTTGAACTAAAATTTTGATGGACCGTTCGGGCCCCATTTACAGTTACATAGGATCACCACCCCCAATATGGAGTCCTTTGTAAGACTTTTAAGAATCCCATTATTGGGTTTATGTTTGGGCCAAATTTATTTTTTTCCTATTTTTTTACTATGGGCCGACGGATAACTGTTTGAAATACGTGATTAGATTTGTTTAATGATTCCCTTACAATAATATTGCCATTGTGCCTTCTTAAATTTATAAGGTAAAAAACAAAAGATTTATACACAATAGAATATAATACGCAAGCTCGTAATTAGAGAAACAAAGATACCATTTTCATAATAAAGCTTAAACAAAGCAATCAAATCAAAGGATTGAAACTGGTACTTAATTGATTCTTAACAAAGCTTATACAAATCACGACATTCAACCGATAAGATAACACTTTTTACATTACATTTGGCCATCCAATCCCCAACAATACTCATTAGCTATTGAGCTTATCAACTTCATCTTCATATGCTTGGAAAAGGTGAGCATGGCATAACCGCTCTCACTTTCAGTTTTTGATATTCCACACACAGCGAAAGGTTTCAAATATGCACAAATAAGACGTGCCATATGAATAGAAACGCGTGTTTTAGTTAAAATTATCTAATGAGGCATATGCATCTCA